AGCCGCCGAGAACGCGAAGAGCAAGCCGGCTCAGCACACGCCTCGTTCGCCTCGTTCGCCTCATCCATCCCACCATCTAGATGTGTTCGCTATCACACTATCTGGCAAATACTTTATCCAGCGAGCCTCATTGAGGCTCGGGCGTGTGTGAGTGTGAGTGGAAACCAACCTACCTACCTACCAACCCCATCCCAAAGACGACATTGACCGGCTGGCTGGCCGTACTCATTGACTGACTGATCAAAAGTCCTCGCGGTCAACGTCCCGTCACTTGTCAGCTCGTTATTCCTGACGCAAATGACATCTTTCGCTCTGCTCTGCTTTTCACACCTGCCCCAACCTCCGAATCCTCCTCTTCGTCACCTCGATCATGAAGTAAGAAAAAAAAAAAAAAAACAAGAGTGCCACCCCGTCCAAGCTCTATCCAAAAACCTATAATCTATCCATACCCCCTCCCTCCATCTTTCTTAGTATCCCGCAGTTGCCTAGTTTCCCACCTTATCGGAAGTCCTCCGGTGAAAGCTCCGTAGCCTGTTGACCTGGTAGTTCTAGACCACACCCCTCGCAAAACCCAAAACGATCCCAACTTTCTATCACGTCTTGCTCGGTCTACTCTCCGTGCCCCGAGAGTCGGTAGGAGGAGGCGGGGGAAAAGTAGACATGACGTTTCCCCTCCTCCTCCAGACCGAAGACAGAAGACAGAGCCTCAGAGACCTCAGAGAGGGACAGTCTCAAGGTTGACAAAACCCAACAAGCCGTCTTGAACCGCACCCCGCCGCCCTGCTCTGCCCCGCGAGGCACGTCCTCTGTCCCAGCATTACAAACAACATACCGGTACCTTACCTTACCTTGCCTTACCTACAACACCGGTACCCTTTCTCCGGTTCCCCGGTTTGTCAAGCAAAAGCGCACGTACGCCCTGTACCCATCATCTGTTGCAAGATCGTGGGAAAATGGCCCATGCCTTGCTGCAAGCCAGGAACAGCACGGATGATCATATATATCACACTCACACATACACACACCCCCTTGACTCTATTCGTCCTCCTTCATCGTCTAAAAGAAAGTGAATTAGGTAAAAAGTTGCCCATAGCTTTCCGCCGACATGTCCGGTCATCCGCGCCGCCGGTTGTACCTGGCTAGCCCTAGTTCAGACTTGTAAGTCCAGTGCACTCCGTAGTTCAGGAAGGCCTTTCCACGGTCGAGTTGAGTCCAATTCCTTTACCGGAAACTCTGTCCAATACACTACATAGTACCCAATACACTCCGTGTTCCTTATTGAGAAGCTACTGGCGACGATAATCCCATCTTCTTCCCTTACCCCGGATGCCGGCCACCGCGGAAGTCTGGATCCAGTGCCGGTGGCGCGGGGAAGCAACGGCATCTTGGCAGGGGGTAAATCTCTAATGCTGTACTTCGTACTGTCATGCTGCTGCCGACCTGCCTTCAAGACGCCATGTTCAACATGCCCGCATTCAAGACAAGTTTGGGGCCCGCGATTATGAACGGGACTGGGACATGCACGTAGGAGTTAAGGATCATATCCCATCGGCTTTTGCGTCGGGGTGCGCATAGCTCTTGGACCTAGACCGAGCCGCAAGCCGCAAGGCAAACCCATCATCCTCCGGCCGAGCCTTTTCATACATAACTTCTGAGTTGGAATGCGAGCTGCTCACCCTTTGCAAGGCATCGCGAACGGTCTGGGTCAGTGAACACCAAAAAATAAATTCTGCCCACGTCCCTGAATGAAAGCTGTGTAATAAATGCATGCGAAGGTTCCCCGCGGAGAAGAGAGGAAAAGAAGCTCGACGTCAAGTGAAGAGAGTTCCCGCAGCTTAGGTCTTGGCTCGAACTTGAACTCGTTCGTTTTTTTCTTTCCTCACCGGCTCGTCGTATGAAGTACGAGGTCTTCAATAAGCCTTTGTCGAATTATACGACGAAGCTTTTTCCTCTTTCCCCGCGTTTTGCAACTCACATAGTTTTGTGTCTTGTCATCTATAGACTTTCTTCTCTTGCGGAAACGTGGCAAAAAGCCGTTTGGTTCTTTGGCCGTACAGAAGCATCAGACATGTCTTTTGGTATCTGTACGTCTGCAGGTAAAAGTATGTGAGCTCACCCTCAAGGCTCAACCCCGCGTCGTCGCCGCCGCCCCAAGTCGGCGACAAACAGGCATGCGGAAGGGGAACCTCAGGAACCCCTGTCCCTGCTTGACTTTGTGGTATATCGCCGACCCCAGAAAGTATCTTGTTGGTTCCAAAGGGAACAGATCTCAAACACGTAAGATTCCCCCAACGTCTGGGGAAGAATGGGGAAGAGAAGAGGACCGAAAGACGTATTGGGTCGGGATTGCTCGGGCCAGCGTTGGGGCGTGGGACTGAATTTCCGTTGACCACCACACAGCCCATCGGAGAGGAACGAACGATGAGACGGGTATGCCCGGAGCAAGAATACTGCGTGCGAATACGGCGCACAGTCCGAGATACAGCAGATAGAGAGAGGAGGGGTGTGTATGCAAGTTCCAGATGTTTTGAACCGCCCGGTTCCAGGCTGAGCAACCTGACGGATGCAAGCTGAAGGGGGGGAAAAACGCGGGGAAGCAGCACCAGCAGTTCCGGTTGAGCTTTGATCCAGCAATGCAGTCAGCAAGCAGAGCATTGTCGTTGTTTGTTTGATTACTGCGAATCGCTTCCCTTGGAGGAATGTTCACTCGACGGAAAGACTCGGCTTTCGTATGGAGTCTTTCCACCGGTCCGCCCGAGAGTTTACGGGCCGCCTCCGGCTATTCAATCGGCTCTCCTCCGCCCAGAAGCTTAGGAAGCTCCCGTCCCTAGGCAACCCTGGTAGTTGGCCTCCCGAACCTCTTTCGGGCCAGCGGGCCTAGGAGGCCTGCCTCTCCACCTCCCGCGAACGCGCTCCTTGCTCAATGCCGAAATTGTAGGCGTCTGCGATGACTGTTCTTAGTGTCAGCCGCAAATGAGCCCTATTGAGCGTCACATTTCAGTAAGTTACGCTTCGATGTGATGAGCTCTAGCCAATTGTCCCTGGCCCGCTTTGTCTAGGTAGCATGCCCCAAGAACCACTGCAATCTTCTCTCTCGGCCGGCACGAGCGGATGCGGACGGTATGGCGTGATATCTCAAAGATAAGCTGACTTCGGCCCTCGGGCTCGCAGACAGACCGCTGCCTATTGACAGCTTTTGAGGTATCGTGACGTGCACTCTCGTTGCAGCGCAGGATTCTCTCTCTTGGGACCAGATGAACGCCGCGAGTTGATCACCGAGGCTGGATAGTCTGTACACACTACGCTATAGACTAGGTTTCTAGGCGGGAGGGGTCCCGGCCATCTCCCGAACACGGTCGAGGCCGTCACGCCGCAGATACTTCTCGGGTGTGCGGCAGAAGGGGCTCGGCCTTGGTCTAAACAGGTAGGAGGTAGTGGTGTACTATGGAAGCCTCTTTCGCAGGCAGGCAGGCAGCCAGCCAACAGCGATGCTGTTTCTCTACATAGGTGACTGATATCGGGTTACCAGATGAGGATATTACGGGGGCGTGTCAGCTTGCAGCCGGGGAAAGGGCGGGAGTGCAGATCTTCCCCGTACCCAAAGTGACGTGAAGGGATTCGGCGGAGTCAACTTGCATCAACTTTGCCAGGTGGAGAAGGGCGGGTGTCCAACGTTGTCGCATAGCCCGTGGAAACTCACCAAGTCGCCGAATCATCAGAATGTTGCGATAGGTATGAGGTGGGCGACGTGTAGCCGATGTATGCGTCAGCCACTAATCACAGCTTCGAATTGACACCAATACTCAGGACGCTTGAGGTGAGTCTCCTTCGCCCACTAGAGTGCTTAAGCGAGGCAGTCCGTATCTCGCGTCTTCGGGCTGAAAGATACGCATGCCGGATCGTCAGTCTTCGTGGGGGGTTTGTTGGTTTCGGGGCATTTGTGATCTTCACGATAACAAGATTGATACACATGAGGGACCCCAGGACTGTGACATGTGTCTGCAGACGGAGCTGCCGCAGGGCTGCGGCGCCTACGTTCTTGTTCTCCCGGACATGTTGCTGAAAACGCAAAGAGGCAACAAGGGCTCCAAGGAGGACAATTAACCCCACTCGCGCGCGTAAGAAGCCGAGGGCCCTCCGAGCTTTTCACCTTCGGCTGCCTGATGTGATCGTTTGCAGACGTCAGTTCACAGCTTGGTGTTGTTGGCGGCCGCGCAGGTTGCGTGGTTCCAGAGATTCTAGGCGTTCCAAAAGACCTCGCGAGATTACAAGCGACGAGAGCGGAAGTGAACCCCCACCGAGATCCATAGAATAATGAATCGAGCCACAGTGCTGACCTGTGAACGACTCGCAACGAAGAGGCGCAAGAGTAGTGGCGTGGCTTGTTCGTGTTTTTCAACAACAGAAACACCATCGCCGACGAATCTAGACTTCGATTGGGTGAACAGTCATCCAGATGGGCGTCTGTAGGTAGCGTGGGAGTGGGGGGCATTCCACACACAGAGAGGCGTCTCGTTGCAGACTCTGGATGCAAGAGGCTGTCCTCCCCGACGAGATGGGGGTTGCGGGCAGGGGTGGCAGCCCTTGAACGTTTACCAGGATTCTCTGCATCATGGGTAGTACTCTGGCAAGTCGTCAACTTGAGAAGCACCGCATCGAAAGTGCCTCAATGTGACAAGTCACAATATAGAAGACCTAGATCTTTGGAAAGCGCGCACCAAGGTGTGCTAGGCCAAACTCATGAACCACACCAGTCGAAACCATTCAACCGTTGTCGAAGACGTGCAGGACGCCTTGGCCAACGAGCAGCGTCAGTTCCCAGGCTGCATGTCGTCGCAGGATTTACTTGGTCCTTCTGATTACACCAACCTGTCGCAGAGCTGTATCCTTCCACGTACTGTCTTTGCTACTACCGTTTGATAAGACGACGGACATTGAAAAGGAACAAATGGAGGAGTCAGTGACGTGAGGGCCTTTTTGTTGTCTGTACTGCGAAAGTCACCTTGCGGAGTTCAGTCCGGCAACCGCAAGAAGCGGAAACCTCGTCGGGTATCTCTTTCTTCTATGTGATCTTTTTGCTGGCAACTGATGATGCGAATGGGAACCACCTCATAGGATGGTGATTTGCTGTTCTTTCAGTCTTCCGGAACTGGATCCTCGGTCTGCTGCCCGGTGCGGTAGGTAAGGCCGGCTTAGGCGCGATGCCACCTACGGTCAACACCAATTCGTACTTTGGCCCTTGCCAGGCCTGGACTCGTTGGAGGACTTGGCATGGCCCTCACAATGTTCGCATTCGTTCAGCCTCTCTGTGACAATGAATAAGATCCGTCTGCCACGCGGAGCTGTTCCGTCGCGGTCAAGTAAGCACCTTTTCAAAACTCCCATTATCAATGCCTCGACTCGGATGAAGTTTGAACTCTTGGGTGATTCAAATCCACTGAGCCATGTTGAGGCATTATACGGTAGAAACTCGACCGAGTTACTGCACTTGCGCTGATCAGGGTCCTGACTCCCATGTGCCCTACACCCTGAAGAAGAAAGTTTCGACGAAGCGAACTCTCTCGCCAGTGCGGCTTAGCGATAGAATCCGAGTCCGTCCTCACTGTGTCCAGCCGCGCCCGGACCTTGGGCGGTGCGGCCTGGAGGGTCGGCGCGGGCCCCGTCGCCCCGGATCGTACAAGAGAGGAGTGCTGAACACGCTCAGGTTTCTCAAGCACACAGTCGCTGCCTTGCCTCATTGCTGACGACGTGATCAGTGCTACATGATCAGCTGGGAAAAGTTCGTGGTCCCGTCTCAGTAAGAAAGTTGAAAGTCGTTTACTGGATTGAAGTCCGGCCAGACGGGCACTGCTGAGACGTCTTCTGTGCGAGAGGTGGCTGGCAGTCGTACGGCACGTTGACTGTTCGAGATGGCTGACAGCATGGGACAGCATAGAAAAGAATGAGGATAGCACTCTGGGATTTCCTGGTTCTGGTGTCTTGCAGCCGTTTGTTGTCGTCCTTATCTCGTCTCTGGCACCCACACACCCCACTGCTGCCATACTCTCCCAGTCGGGACGGGGTTGGCGACCTGACTCTTAATAAACAGCAACTATGCATATCAGCTGCGTCGATAAGAAAATGGTGGCGGATGGTTTTCTCCGTTACTAGGTTCGCCTTCGAGTCTCCTGGTAGCATCCCGCCATTGCGTCTTGAGTATGAGGGTATGAACTAACTAGTGTGGCTTGTGTCCAGCTGCAAGGTCGCATAGCTTCGAATACCTGGCGCTGCCACTGGCTGGGCGGGGCTGATGAGGTGATGGTGCAAGATATTGGCGTCGCTTTGAATGCCTGAGAGACAAAATAGCTTTGCGATGAGGATGCAGAATGACTGGCTGAATAGCTGACTAGCCCATTGTCACGGTCATGCATTGTACAGTGGATGACTCCGCTCCAAGGTTTTGAAAACAGGCTGTCCGCAAATCTGCATATGCAGTCAAGGTACACGTTGTTAGAATGCCTACAGGCTGGCTCTCAACAAAGAGAAGAAGCGTCCAGTGTCACAGCGGAATATACAGCTGTGTGTAGAAGTCAGGATGCCGTGAACTCTGTGCCCCGTCGCGTCGACCTGCAGCGCTGCATTCTTTCAGACGCCTGGGCAAGGCCTTGAACGAGGCACGGTTTGAAACATGCGCCTTCGATTGGACGACTCAGACCGTAGCCGGCCAGGCGCCGAGAAGAGAGTATATGGCAAGGTATGGCATGGCAAGCCAGGCCAAGGCAGGACAGCGACCAGACAAAACAGGCCGAACAGGGTAGTAAGCTGTACAAATATGGAGCGGGTATTGCTTCTTCTGTAAGTCTGCGGAGAGAAAGACAGAGCGCCTCGTGGGTTTGATGTGCACGACAAGCAACCGCCATCGAATGGCCTCTGCTTCAAAGGTTCGTGTTTGGCCGACGGGCAATGCCTGTAGTGCGGAGTGTGGAGTTGCTTCAGATGGTGGAGGAAGAAACCGGAGAAGCTGGAAGATCGGGGGAGGATGAGGTGGACAAGTGTCGGACGATGTCGGGTCGGGTGTGTACGTAAACAGACCGAGGACGAGCAGAAGAGGTCAAACTATAATCGTGAACGTGTTGGCAACTTACGTGTTCGTGTAACTCACATAAGATTCGCCATACTTGTGGTGGATGATGCACTGGCTGTCAAGACATGTACACCCAGATTCATAGTATGGTAGTTTCAATGTAGTCGCCCTCTAGCCCGCGCATTTCATCGCAGCACAGGATATGTATAGATAGGTATTTGGAGAAGCGAAAGAATAGATAGCCAGGGTCTCTTCTGTCTGAGCGACTTGTGGTCTGGACCGATCTGCCAGAGCGTCTTAGCAGACTACTGTAGCGTAGCTGGCACCGCCCCTGCTTCTGACGGCTATCGTGTTTTCTGACCGAGTTTGAAGGAGCTCCGCCCACTGTTCAGGGCGATAACAAGTAGTTCGTCTAGCGAGAAACAGGTGCCAAACAGTTGCTGCTCCATACAGGCCTGCCATCGGTATCCTCAATATGCGGCATATTGTTGGAAGGGAGCCTATCCTATTCCGCGAGACACTGAGAGAAAGAGAATGGCGGGGCGAGAGAGGCAACTTCATCGCGAAGCTCTACCGTTTGGCGCCCCCAAGGAACTGCAACGACAAGTCTCCCTGAGCGAAATTGAGCTACACGGCTACAAACGGACGCGTCGAAGGAGGGTGATCAGCTAAGGGAAGGCTTAAGGATACTGGGAATGGAGAAGCCCGTTCAACCCGACGAATGGACTGGCATATCCAGTTCATGCCGAAGAGCCGCGGATAGTCTCCTCCAGCTCTCGACTTTGGCATCCCATGGCACTCCTGTGTGACTGGTAGAGATCCAACATCTGTAAACCGAGCCCGTCAGTTCGCAGTTGTCGAGGCCCTCCGAGGTGAATGATGCATGGATTCTCGATCTATGATTTGCTGTCCACGGGGGATCTCCAAAGCCAAGCCAAGCCGGTTCAGTCTCCCCATATCTTCCCCGTGGAGTCCGACTCGTCCACTGGGAGATAGTTTGGGACCATTGCTTTCAACCCCGTCGAAATGGGGTCTTTCCCATTCGCCCACTATTGCTTTCAGACTTTGGATGCGTCGATTCGTTCTCACCAGCAGGTTCCGTGGCCGTAACAGTGACACGCGAGATGCCACGACAAGAATAGCCTACGTTTCATGAGACATCTCTTTTGAACCTAACCTCAGCCTGGCTCGGCGTGATTCGGATCGTGTTGGAGTTACAAGCACATCAAATACCGTCCTCTATTGGTTAGCAGCCAGTGCATTGTCTGCAATGACCCTGCCTTTGGCTTCAGCCTGGTCTCCTCCTCGCGCCGTGCCCTGTGGTGCTCGCTAACTTACACCTTCCGTGCATGACATGCCTTTCCCAGACTCAAGGAGAAGGGCTGTTGGTGGCACTGACCAAGTTGACTTTGAGTATACCCCAGAGTGTTCATCCATGTGTTTGCGTGTGCCCAAATCCTGACGTACCACTGGGCACAACCAGGGAGACAGATAGGCTTGCTGCCTACATGATTGCAGACTTCGGTGAAAACTGAGGAAGCCAAGGTAGGGCATGAATTGTAGTCGCGCGCAGCAGCACAAAGCACCAGCTCGCTGAACCAAGAGTCTATTATTATGATGCGTCCAGGTCGATATCAATTCACAGGACCTTGGGAACTGGAGTTAGAGCAAGCCGGTTGCGCGTAGCTTAGGCAACGTTAAACCCACGCCTCGTAGCTCTAGTATAGAGTCGCAACTTTTCAAGGGTTAATCTTGCCGTATGGCCCTCGCTCTTTGCCTCCGGCCACTGTCCGTACTCCGTACCGCTACTTCAGCTCCACAACGGCCGCGGGAGGGGCGAGGTATGCGTAGAAAAAGAGCGAAAAGAACGTCATTTCATGGCCAATAATTGGGCTCGTTGAAGGTGAGCCAGGTAGACCAGTTCGCGCCAAATGTATTACCTAGCAATCACTACGCTGGCTAGCGGCCGGAAGAAAAAGCAGAGTGCATTGATGCGTTCGATGTTGCGCAGCTAGCGTCTAGTTCAAGTTCCCTCTTGCGTAAGGTCTTGTTGATTGAGGGCCCTTTGAATAAAACGAATAAAATTCAGAGAGGCTGGATGCCAGTCTTGCCATTCTTGTGAGGAAGGTTAACGCCAGGCCAGGCGGGGTAAAGGCTTTGGCATAACCATGGAGCGTTCCGCCTGTGATGACCATCTAGATTACAGCGACTGCTATCAGCATAGTGGCTGGCGGATCTGACATGCTGGGAACTGGGGGAAAATCCGGGTTACATCAACCAAGCTTCCAAGTCGTAGGTCGACAGAGTTTGTCTGATATGTGCAGAGTTCGCTACTACGCTTGCTTTTGTTGCCTTTTCAGATGTTCCCCAGTTGTTAGTAACTTTGTTTGGTTGGAGACATGGACCCTTGAAGTCTGAACAGCCAGCCACCAGGGGGTGGACCAGCCGCCGAGTCCCCAACAAAATGTCGATCGATGTTGACGTTCGGCGAGGGGAAGCTTGAAGCTGGCGCTCCCTGCTACCATCAGACACAGCGAACGTCTGATATTGGCAGCCAACGAAATCACGTTGGCGGTCAGGGCCCGACGAAGCTGGAGCTGGCGATCAGCGAGCTTGGAGGGATAGCTGATGCACGACTACATGTCAATGGCTAGGAAGGCCATGCTTCCTCGCCTGGTGGCCTGCCATCGCCGCAAAAGAGCGTGCCAAAACGCAGTTCCGTATGCTCCCCTCACTGCAGGGCCCGATGCTAGGACCGGGCGTGCTCATAGTGCCCAAGGCGTAGTGCATACAGTAAGACCGAGGAATCGAGATAGCATCGAGATGACTGTGGTTTGTGGTGAGGAGCATTCACTTGGTCGCCGATTCTGACAGCAATGATGCCACAACCCGACGCTGAGGACCACATGATATCACCGTATCCTTACTGGCTGGGCGGGTGTTGTCTTTCCTTCTATTGCTGTGGTGGTGTCCGATCGAAAAGCCCTGACCAGCCGAGCCGTGACAAGGGAAAGATAAGCAGGGCGGCTCCAGTGAGCAGAAGATGTTAAGCCTGGCATGTCTGAAGGGCTGGGCCTGACAATGCGTAAGGATACCTACAGCAGAGGGCATTGCGTTCTTGTGAGCTGGGAGATGCTGATGGCGTAAGGTTAGGAGAAGAAACGAGGCGAGACAGCCAAATCCCCGAGTCTCCAGAAACCGTGGAGCCTATTGATGGGGTCTCCGTGGGGGAGCGTATGGAGCCAAGACGAGAGACGCATTGAACCTGCGGACATTCGGCTGAGCTGTGCTACCGAGTGCGGTCGACGATTATGCGACGAGACTCGGGGGCGATGCCGCTACTCGGCGGTTGTTCACAAGCAGATCAATGAACGGTGAGGATGGGAGGTTGAAGATGCAGTCATTCGAGTATTGAGTGATTGCCCGTCTTGACGTGATGCCTTCCTCATTCGCTACGGAGTATTCTGTATTGCCAGTTGCAAGCGCCCCGAAAAGTCAGGGACGACCTGCTGCGTCGATGGGGTCTTGCCCACGCGAGTTGACGACATTGTCAATGTGCGTCGCTGCTGGCCCTGTTCAATGTTGGCTGTTGCCATCTCCCCGGGAAAGAAAGAAAGGGGCCCTGCGCGTAATTGTTAGCGAGGTACAGCTTGCCCCGCAATGTCCAAGTCCATGGCACGCTAGATTACCGCACCGAGTGACCAGACCGTCAGCCCGGGGAAAGGTTCCGGTCATGCGCAAGTCTCCATCTGGGGCCAGCCACAACCAGGGCCCACATCATCCGGCGAAATGACGGGACAGTTTGGGCCTTCTGGTTCCGATGCACACCCCCACGTGACCCCTGACGCTCGGCTTGCCCTTGCCTTACTAAGACCCGGTACGTACCCCTCATACCTTGGACGGCCTGTCCGACAGACGCACAACGCAGGAAGGAGGCTCTGGAGTTAGATCTTCGCTTGCTCCTTGCTCAACATCAGGGCAGAGTTGCATCTTCTGTTCTAATTCAATTCTAATTCAACACCATACCTTCAAACACGCTGCGTGCCGAGCATAGGCACTCTGTGTTGCTCTACTTGCCTGGGCAATGATCCACGATCGATGCCAGCTAACGTCATTCGCATCCAACATCTCTGCCCCTGACTGGGACCTCTAGGCGGGATCAGCACGAGAAACCCCCGACTTGCATAGGTATCCGAGCTTTCCAAACGGCATCCAAAATCCTGGGGCCAGACTTCAAGAGCAAAAGGGAGGAAAGGTATTCCTGCAAGCGCGCCCTATGTCTGATACTAGCGCATCAAAGACCCTTGGGGTTTCCTCGCACCATATTTGTCACCTTTGATATCACCTCTCGGCCTCTTCGGTCGTTCCATTTACTACCCGCCAGTTGTCGCCAGAGCATCCATTCCAGGCCTGTCTTGGAACCCCCATCTTGGGCCAGATGGTCTTTCGGCCTGAGCGGCCATCCCTCCCGGTAACGATGGCGGCGACTTGAGTCTCCCGGGGTCGGCACGGACCATGAAGATTGTTACGCGGACTTGTACGGAAAACGAGAATCATACGGGCGAGACATCAGGACACTGACCATCCTGACCCCGCCCCTTCGGAGAGGTTTCGAGGGTGAGGGCGGGGATCACGCCGTCAGTGGGTGCAGCAACGTGGGATTTGACCAGGGCGAGAGCGCGACAGATGGAAGAAAAAAAAATTCTTTTCGAAAATAATTTTTAACTCCATTCGCCCTCACCCCGAGGGTCCAGCCGAAGGACCCCCCTGTCGTTCGGGGCCACAGTCGCCTTGTCAATTTCGAGCCCGCCGAAAGGCAGCCAAGAAGGCCCATTGCTTCCCTCGCTTGAGGCTTGCCTAGCCAGCCCTGGGCCAGACTCGGACTGGCTTGAGGCTTGGGGCTGGGGAGCTGGCCCTGCTCGAACCCTCAGACATTGAGGCGTCCGACCATCCGAGGATCGCAACTTGGCCCAGGTCACTGGATATTGCCATTGCCATTATCGCACATGCGCCATCGTCACTGGAGCGGTTTTGGCTTCATCACGAGGTCTCACTGTGCTCAGGCCTCGTCAAGACCTAGTGCATTCCGGCCAAGAGAAATTCGATTCGAATGCCTCCGTACCCTATGTACTGCAGAGATCCACGCTGCTATCCGCCGTTGTAACCTGCAAATCGCTCGCTGCCGTCGGTCAAGTGCCTGGGGCCATGCAAGAAAGCTATTGGCATTTGCAATTGCGTTTGTTCCCTCGGGAAAACGAATCCGTGTCTTGCACACACAAGAGTCGATGTATCCTACATGGTTCGACAAAACGACAAACGTCCCCACGTTGACGTCTTTGTGCCAGGAGTACCAGAGTGAGACGGTCGTTCATGACCTGGATATGGCTAAAGATCGGAGACCTAAAGACCTGAAGATCACTTCTCTGACCGTCATTCCTCCACTCGACGCTTGGTACCCTTGGCTGGGTTATGTGTCGTCTCGTCACTTGCGCCAGTAATGTTTTATGCTGGCACTGTCGGATGTGAATGCGCCAACAAAGGCATGCTCTCATTGGCACAACATCCGCGACGAGCTTGTCTCGCTCTCTCTTCGTCCAATGTGTTGTGGCATTCCGGGATTACAACCTCCACTTCCCTAGGACCGCCACGACCGCCTTACCTGCCGGACGCATTTGTATGCTCATCTGTCTGGTTACAGTGTCGGACGAGTGTCCCCCACACAGTCTCTCGCCTCCTTGCGGCAGCGGACAATCCACGCTCATTCCCAAGTTCGTTCCGGTGGCCTCGTTCGCTAGACACTGGCATGCCTTCAATCATTGCGCAGGTGTTCGATTCACCTGGTTGTCGTACCCGCGCGTCCGCGGCCGGGACGAATTCGTTCTTGCGAGGGGTTTTGTCCCTGCTGAGACCGTCGTCGTCTCTGGACCATGGCTTAATACCTGAGTGACGTTGACTCACATCCCTCGAATGGGCCTTATCTTGCTTTGCCCCGGATCATCCTCCATGTCTCTTGATTATCGTCCCGGCCGCCGCTATAGACGGCGTGGAGGGCATGGAGGGCTGCTTAATGGCTGCTCGCTATCAGACCGTGCTTGAGGCTTTGAGCTCTGTCTATCCCTTGTGTTCCGGGGAGGATGAATCCAACTTGAGGTATATGTCTCTCTATTCTGCCTTTGGAGCTTCCCTTGAACATCCTGTGTATCTGTACAGAATGAGGAAGGCCCCCCATCTTCCCGCCTCCGCAGATCCTCACTTCGCCTAGTTGGCTCCTTGCGGATTCCATCTCTGCTTCGATGAACTTTTCCGGGTCGTGTTGACCAATCAATTGACCACTCGCTAGGCGCCGCATTCGCCGCCTCGCCGTTTTGTGTCTTGTTCTCGTTCAATTATACATGCCTGAATTTGGATGTAGGAGTTTCAATCCAAGAGACACAGATATTTAGACATTATGCATCCCCCTCATGGCCCCTTTCTCGAGCCAAGTTTCCCCTCCCTTCATTATCATCATCATCATCACCACGAGTATCACCACGAGTATCACCACCACCACCACCATCATCGCATTGCTGGACAAGCCCTGACGAATAGACATTGAGGTAGGCACCGGTGTGTTTGTTGCTCGCTGTCTCCTGCACCTTGGATCTCTCCACGCCGATACCCTCCCATTCTCACCCCAGTTGTCGGTCTGGCTGCAAGCTGCCACACTTGCATCTCTGGTGTGTGCATTGGCTTGCAGGGGTCTGATAAACGCTTGCGCAGCGCAGCATAGCGTTGCGTTGCGTTGCGCCCCTACTTTGTTACTGTACACCTGCGCCTCTTTCTCTCTTGCTGTCTCTCTCTCTCATTCGCACAGCTCCTATGCTTTCCTTTGCCTTGAATTCCCTCAGTGTCATACCTGCCTCCTCTACGACCCCAATATACCGATACCCATACTCACTCTGTACTTGCATCCGTCATTCCGGCCACTCTATCTGCCCTGACGTAGCGCCTGTGTGCGTATGTCCATTTACTACTACCCATCCAGTTCCACGCATCTTGTCCTTGCTAAGTGGCTACCAGACCGTGAGAGAGTCGTTGTCCCACTGGCTCCTCGGTATACCGAGATATACCACAGATAGGTAGGCACTTGACGGGATACAAGAGTTTGTATCTTTAGGTCCATCTATTTGTAAGGAACTACCTTGTACGTGAAGTAGTCGGTGGCGTGCCGGACTATGGCAAAGTACCTCTTTTCGCATCGCAACTGCACCGCACATTCACCTGTTTTGCTTGTTGCTTTCCTGCTGCTAATGGTAGTGCCCTGATCCCTCCTCCCCAGTCCACGTCCACGTCGTAGTCCCATCCACATTGTTCATCCCCGGGCCCCAGAACATCTCGCAAGTCTCCAGATGTTTCTCCTCAGATTCCTGCTGCCCTTTTCTTCGTCGCGTTCTCCAGTTTCTCAGTGTCCGTCTGTCTATCTGCCCAAATGGTTCAACAGACTGTAGTTCAATCTCATCTGGTGAAGCCTTCATCTCCCTCAATCAACCATCACTTTAATTACTATCCGTACTCTCTCTCTCTCCATCTCCGAGTCTCAACAGTGACTGCTTGCCTTCAAGCCCGGGTCCAGTCCTCGCTACTTCTCCACACAGACGAGGACCCCCCCTGCCGCCCCTTGGACTCCTTGCCCACCATCACCCTTGCTTGCACCATCGAGCCCTTTCCCGAATAACCAGACGCAAAGGCAAAAAAAAAACTGTGTCTGTCACACACCCCGGAGCGTTGTCTCCCACGCCCCTCTCTCTTTCTCTCTCTCTCTCTCTTTCTCTCTCCCAATCTCTCTTCTCCCTCCTCGCTCTGCCTTTCTGCATTCTGACCCCCTCCACATTGACTTGGACCCCCTCATCTTCCATCTTTCCAGTACATCTGCGCCTCTAGGGTACAATCCGGATACCGGTACCTCCTCCTCTTCCTCACCCCCCTCCCTGGTCAAATCCTGCCCTGACCTGGCGTACGTCTGCGTGAGTGGTGTCCGTACCTATGGACTCCCACTCTTTCTCCTACCTTTTCCTCTCTCTCCTCCTAATCCACTGAGAGACTCCACTGGGGCGGGCAAAAGAACGAGACCTGCAATCAGCCTCTGGGGCTCGAACGTGCCGGTTGTCGTTCCAGTTCCTCGATCCGCTTCCCTACCCAGTATTTTACTTTTTTACCTTTTTTTTTTCTCTTCCCCTACCCTGTCTCTGGCTATCGAGCAGCCCGAATTCCCCATACACCACGGATTACATTTACCTACCCTTTTCCATCCGTCCACTCATCCCTTCTTCCCTTCACACCTCGGGTGTTCTTCTTGTCTTCCCTCTCCACCTACTCGACTCCGAGACTCGAGCAAATATACAAACCACCTCCCTCCCGCTTCCTCCCGCTACCACCCGCGACTCGCCTGGTTTTCACGTTCTCGTTTGCGTTTTCAAAGTTGCAGCGACATCATTTACTTCAGCCGCCGTCTCTTCTCGAAACCGTCGTCACTGACCCTCACGCGTGTACCCTCAGCCCAAGCCAGCACCAGCCAGCTTTGCTCTTCCGTTTCGCCCTACCTGATCTACGACTCCTCCGCCTTTTCCACTGGCGAACCCCCCGCGCATCGCTCCAGTCACCGCCTTTGTTTCTTGGGACGCCACCGCGCTAGGTCCTGAGCCACCAAAAACCTGCACGGTACAACCAACGGCCTGGTGTGGGAGGAATAAGAAAAAGGGACCGTCATCCTCCCGGACAAAACAACCCCCTCTCCGTCCTGCGTAGCCGTCGCCCCGATTACCGACTCTTTGGTCCACGATCTACGACCTGCTGCTATCACCTCTTCTTATCCACCTACAACAACAATAACAACACCACCTCCAACGACTTCAGCTTCCACTTGGATACTTATGACCGATCTTGCTCGCCTCTGTTCTGAATTAGCGGCGATCAGGGACTAACGTTCCTCAATTCGCCCAAACACCTCTACGATGGCAGTCGTTTTATCTTCAGAGGAGAATACCTACTTCTCCTCGTCTAGCCTGCGACGTTCGCACTCACAACCAAAGTTCGTCACAAAACAAGCGAGCTTCCACTCAGCTCCCGCCCCTAGCCATATCAGCGACGTTTTTGCAGACGCGAAGGTGTATCCCGACTCAGCACCGTCGTCTGCCCCTTCATCTCCCAGGACCATTCACGCCGAATCTACCGACCTCTCTTGCTCCTCAACACCCGCCAGCAATGTCTCCATTGCATCCGACTGCGACGACACGTTAGAACTTGCGGTGCACGCCAACGACCACTTTGTCATCCCTACCTATGGAGAGTCTGGCTACTTTGACCAAGTTGAAGACCTTGAAGCACCTACAAGTCCCCGGACTGGAGACTCGTACACTGTCTCACCCGTCGACAACGACACCGATGGAAACACATCCAGGCCCAACACACCAGAGTTCATTTTGGACGTAGAACACGCTGAAGACGATACCGCTGTTCGAGCACAACCCTCGCGTCACGTTGACTATCTCTCGCACAACTGGAAAGAGGAGGATATCTGGTCGTCATGGAAGTTCATCGTGTCCCGGAGATCCGAGTACAGCAACGCGGCTCGCTTGGAAAACGCATCTTGGAGGACCTGGATGAAGGCGAAGAACCACCTAAAAACCGTCTCCCCCGAGACCCTGAACTGGTAGGTACCGTGGAAGCACAAACCAGTACAAACTAACTCCTGGCAGGCTCAAGGACTGTGATGTCACCTGGCTTTATGGACCATTGCAGACGGGTCCAAACACTTTGAACCCCATCACAACCGACCCCAACAGCGCCAGGCTTACCAAGAACAACTCGTTTGTCAACAAGAAGCCAATCCTCAAGAAGAGGAGTATGTCGGAAGTCATGCTGCAGAGGTCATTATCCGCATCCTCTTTGCTAAAGCAGGCTGCCGCGGCAGTCCAAGCTCAAGAAAAAGACGGACGCAGACGTCTAGCCCGACCAACATTGGAGCGAGCAACCACAGACTACGTCACGTTTCCATTTTCATCGAGGAGGTTGAGCCGTGAGAGCTCCAACCTGTGCCCGTCAAGTACATCATCCGGCATCATCTCGCCGTGCAGTGAAAAGAAGCACATTCACTTCAATGAGCAGGTGTCTCAATGTATCGCAGTTGATATCAAGGGCGACGATGATGATGATGACGCCGATACCGAGCGCTACGATAATAGCGATTCTGACGAAGGAGCTATCATGATGAAGAGATCACGAACAAAGAAGAAGGCACCCTTGCTCAGAAGGAAGTCCTCAAAGGCTGCCGCAGCTGTTGAGGGCAAGACGATTGCGATGTTACCATCAACCACCCTCAAGTACCGCGAAGATACTCCCGAGCCACAAGAAACAGCTATGAAGCACAGTACCTCTTACAGAAGCCCCATCATGTCCCCGTCCTCCTCTCAAGAAACTCTTCGACCCTCCAAGGGCTCCGGCAAGTTTTTCTTCGACGACGATGACGATGAGGAGGAGGAGGCCGTTTCTATGGGTTGGCAATCACCGACAAAAGCCGACGACAAGTCTACAGGCCTACAACGATCATCGTCCACCAACAGTCTGAACGCCGAACCAGCTGGCATGCGTCGGACCTCGTCAGGTATGTTTATGCCATATGAAGAGGGGGAATCATCTTCCAACGAAGGAATCATCGGCCGGGTCATTGATACAGTTAATACAGCCCGGGATATTGCACATGTTATTTGGAACGTGGGGTGGAGGAAGTAAAGAGCTCAGTCAAGGTGGTTTGGGGCGCGGATTTTTCTAGCTCGACTCCAGCAAAACGCAATCGGCACGTCGTTCTTGGTAGTGGGTGTACGATATGGAGAAACGCGGATGCATCTATCCTCATGCATCTGCGAGAAGCTTGTGGAATTTCATCTCTGGGAGCATCCACGAGGATGTAATCAGGCCAACGCAATGGCCCAAGGACGATTTTGGTCTAATCACATCATCATACGGGGAGCATTATCATGCAGCGCGTCGATGGCTCCATCACGTTTGGTCGCGAGCCCAGTAAGGAATGGCACATGGTGGGATACCGGCGCTTAGGCATGCGAATCATGGTAATGGACTGGTCAATGCCCTCACCATCATGGCAACTAGGAATGTTGCGTAGGGGTTTAATGACGATACACGGAATATGCTTGTAACAATCATTTTGGGGAAATCTTGGGCACTAGTTGGTCTTCACCAACAAGGCTTGGCACGCGAATTGGGTCCAGGTATTGGGTTTCAGCAATGGCGCAACGGGGGAAAGATGGACGGGGAACAAAAGAAAATGGTTCGTTTCACAACAAGAGTTGGCTGGGTCTCAGCAGAGTGTGGTGCAGTCGGGTTTGGCGTGCTTCTAGCATTCGGAACTTGCGCTGTGGGAAGAGGTGGAATTTTGGGGGCCATGGGGCGTAGTTGCGAACTTGACGTCGACTTCGCAATGCTGGTCTTGTCCATATCGGGCTCGGCGTGCCTTGCGTGGAGATGTCGAGCATTCTTGTCGGCCACGGCTTGGAGCATGCAAACCCCCATGGGTATCAAGGGATGAGGCAGCGGGAAAGTGGCATACAATTGTGTCTTGCCGAGGGGAACGAAATACACCTGGATGAGACCCTGGTCCAAAGTATATAGAAAGGTGGGAAAAGGCTCGAGCAAATGAACTCGCCGTGGCAAAGATGCCAAAATTCACACGACTTGACATTACCGCTCCCTTCTCTCGTGATGATTTCCTACGTACTCACAACATGACCAACTGCAACAGTGACTGTGCACGTTATGCCTATTTTGTGTACCTGTCCCGTCCCGGCCGTTAACCTCGTGGTTTACGTGTATCATTATGCCAAATGTCTCCCAGTTTCTCCAATGTCTCAGTATATTTGCTTTTTTTCTTTCTTTCGCCATCTCTGGGAAGCTCAAGCAAGGGATAGGGATGGATAGCTGGGCATTAGGCTTGACCGCCATGGAGGCAAGGAAGATTGACGCCTCGTGCTGCTGATAAGGTGCGGTGTAATGTGGGATGTAGGCAGGTCCTTGGGAGGGGGGGGGGGATCTCAGGTCTAGAGTGCATGTGGTGTTGTGCGAGGGTGTGTTTATTTGATTCAAAGTTGGATGTGAGAGACAAGCAACAGGTAGGTAAGGTAGGATTAGGTATTGGGTTTCTTTCTTTTGGTACGGAATGGCGTGCTTCTAGATTGTTCGTATTCACGGATATAATCGTGGTGCATTTGTTACTTTACCTTTCTCTCCACGGGGCTTAGAAGATAGGCTAATTCTGTGTATCTGGGGATCGCTTTTGTTTTGGTATGTGTTTGGCTTCCCGGGGACGCGCGGGTGATGGACCGCCCGGGAGACCCTGAGAACCTCTACGGACGGGACGGGGAGGACGAGGAGAGATGAGTTAGATCGCTAGCTAATGTGCCTGAACCTTGGGAAGGGGTAAGGCATAAGGCCGAGGTGGATATCGATGAGGGTGTTGGAATGCGGCTGGTGGGGATGATGAGGCTCCCTTTGACCCCTGCGGAGATCCTTCTCACTTCCGTTTACATGTCTATCTGGGTCGTTATCTACTAACGTGGCTGCATCTTTTCTGGTTGTGGCAGGAAACCTAAGTAGATGTGATGTGATATTTGATACGTTTAGGCTGCTTACGTTGGAACTCAAAGATTCGTCGGCTCCTTCCGAGAGTTGTACAAGGTTTGCTTGATATTGCTTATGGCCCATTGCTTACTTAGGTCATGATCATGGTGGTGGTGACGGTGACGAGGGAGGTGTGGGAAGCGTGATATTGTTGGCTGATGATGTAAACGCCATTCTTTGCGTGCTGACCAGGGTTCTCGTAGAGGGAGAAACTTCGACACCGTGTGTTTACTTTTTTATTTACAAGCTTGTGGCTTCTTATCCCGTGTGCAGTAAGGTAGGGTTCTGTAAAGAGGAATAGATGTTCAGGGTCCAATACGTGGCTCAAAGTTACCTTGCGCCATCATGTCGTTCGGGGCGTTTTTTTCTCACAATTTGTGGACTTTTAAGTTGCTATCTGCGTATTATGTACGACATGGCGTATGCTTTGCTTTGCTTTGCTTTTTTTCGGTTTTGCCGCAGCTTCCATTGATTTTCCTCCTTTGGACTTTTGGGGAACATGCAATGCGCTGAATCGTTCGTGGGTTATGCAGGCTTATCTGACAATATGCGTGTCACTACTCTCTCCGTCTATCTAGCCTTTTGCGCGTCTCGTTTTCACTTTTGGTTTCCATTTAGTTTTGAGCTGAAGTGTGTAAAGTGGGAAACGGGAATGTTCACGTCTTATCCCATGAATCGGGGTGTTTGAGTAAGGGTCCATCTAAGATTGCGCGGAGAATCTTGGGGAGGTAGCCAATGCTACATTGATCAATTGATCGGACGATTCCATCTACCCTTTCTTGCTGTTTCTCTATTTACCTCGGTGATTTTTGCAAATTTAGGTTGCGGGTTGCACCGATATTTGGTGACCAACACGAAGCGGCGATTTGCAGTGGCGCTCTCACACTCAAGGTCACCGGCAGGACTCGTGGCAGGCCGTGGCAAGGTAAATAAAGAAAAAGCAAGGATCCATGTGGCAAGTTCGTGATGATATGCACGATGAGAGCATGATACCGAAACGGAACGGTAATCGGGAGGACGCGGAGTTGGCACCCACCCACCCCCCACTGAAAATCAGGGTCCTGGAGCGCAGGAGACTGCAAGGTCAGAATGCACGTATAACAGGGGGACAAACAGGGGATTGGACTGGAGTGTTGTCTGGAGGCGTGTTTCTGTTTTTGGTGGGAGAGGATGAGCTTCGTGTGGAGGTGGAGGTGGAGGTGGCAAAAAACGGAACCTGGAAATCGAGAGAGAAGGGCAAAAATTGGCATTGGCAGTGGTTCCGCTTGTCAAGTAGGACCCGTTGTCGATCACGGCGGAGAGAAACCCGCTTTTTGGGCGTGGTTTTTACTTACATGTCGCATATGCTGCCTCTGCTTACGTACATGTTGCAGCGACGATCTCGGGAGTCCCAGAAGAGGGATTGTGGTACGTCTAAGTGGCTGGATAGGTGGAGGTCTGGAGGAGGCTTCTCGTACAGCACGCCTTTCATACAGTACGATGAGTATCGTGGTATCCGTATCTTACTGTGGTACCCTGAGACCCCCTTCCTTCCCTTCGGTGAACAAATGCCGAGGGAAATGGCTCGGACTGGGTAACTCAACTGACTACTTCCCACCCCCGTGCTGATCACCCTCCGCGGTGCCGAGTTTAGTCAGCGAAACGTAGTTGAAAAAAATGCCGTCTGCCGGACCGTGTGGTGGTGAGTGGCTGAGCCGGGAGATGGAGTGCGTAATCGCGCGCTGTGTAGTCTTGTCCCGCCGGCGAGATGCATCGAGACGACGTATTTTAGTGTAACGAGGTACGAGCTAGTTTGAATTATCGATGGAAAAGGAGGGAGGTAAAGAGAGATACCTACATATCAGCGACGGATAGACGGATCCGAGATATGTGCGCTGACGCAAAAGGGCGGGAGGCCGGCGGGCGAGCAATGGAGGGTATGTTTACCTACATTGGAGAGATAGTCAATGACACAGCCAAGCGTGGGGGCCCCCATGGGGCCGTGCCATGGTTCCATGGCGGCTAGGCGGCTCTGGAAGGGCTTGGTGAATTCTTTGGTGGAAAGGGGTGTGTAATAGAGGATCAGTAGTGGCTGTTGATAACTCTGGGCGGTCCAAAGTACACCTGCTGTGTGTAGGTCTAGCAAAGCAGCTAGGGGAAAGTTTCGCACATCTAGAGCGACCTGAGGAGGGAGACCTGGAAGGAGTCTGAGGGTGTGGTGTAGGCGACTGGATGGTGTGCGCTTGTGTGATGGTGGTTTCTGCTACCATGGTCCTTTTGAGGGAATTCCAGTGTGTAACACATACGCCCGTAGCTTTATCTTGGGCAATGGAGATTGGACGAGGTGAGCCATTGACCAATGAGACTGCTGGATATGGAAGCGTGCCCGTTCGGTGCGTCGTACACACTCTGTCGGGACGGATGGTGTGCTGTTCGATGAGGTTGGATGGCCTAGGGGAAGGAGCCGCAATGACCTAGGACTTGGTTTAGTCTCGATGGCATCGGCGCCGGGCGTGTGGACATCAAGAGACACCTTGTTTCCCTGGTTGGGGAGCATGATCTGGACTGTTTACTTCATATCTTGGGGAACCGGGGCGTGTGATGGGTTCTGGATGAAGACCTGGCTTGACGCCCCTTAAAGTTTGGGGGTCCTTATCTCACGGATACGCTACGTTACCATGCCCTGTGTCTGGGCTTGCAAATGTCTCCGACTCCCTTGCTTGGCGCTTCTCCACGGGGAGAGGCGGAGAGAACGTGGAGATGGGAAGAAGTTTGGGGGTGGGTGGGATCAGTGAGACATTGATCTGGCTCTGGGCTTTTGGTGGCTAGCCGCGTGTTCCACCCGTTTGTCCAGCGACGTCTGTGATTGTGTTTCTGTGCAACCAAACACGAGGGGTGAAAGGGGTATGGCGTGAGTGTGTGACGGTCTTTCGTAATTGTAAGGGATGATGATGGAATTCTGCGTGGACATGATTTTCTGCCCTGAGCAGAGAGGCTCGAAGAGTCAAGATTGACGACAGGCGTGTTTGTGTTGATCATCAACCTTTGGTGTCTTTACGTCAGTCATGTCTGTGTGAAATAACGCCATTTAGACGGTGATGAGGTGGTGGTATCTGGTGGTGCTTGCGTAGCTGTATGCATCGATGCCAACGGAGTTCGACCTTGGGAGAAAGGGCGCAACCTTGAAGTGGATAGGAGATTCCCATTCTGTAACAGTCGACGGCGTGTGACTTTTCGGTGACTGACTAGGCGCTCGCATGTGTTCCCAAGTCATAGTTTCCAGAGTGGTTGTCGTGTCGTACTTGCCTTTTGACAGAAAATTGTTAGTGACACCGACAGTTTCGAGCAGGCTCTTCGCACATGCAATCGAGAGTTGAGAGAACCCTGCAATCTTGATATAGAGGTTGGTATATGTAGCACTACTGACTCGAGGCTAACTGATGCTCCTGCCGCCGCGCGAGCGGAACCGTTGCATCAGTTACCCGGGATGCAGACTTTGTACGAGATGGAGGGAGACTTGATAAGTAGCCGCAGCTAAGGATGATGGAGCCTCGCTAGGGTTGACGAGGCCAAGGAGGCAATGCTCTCCATTGGAGATGGAGATGATAAGACCGATTTCATAGCGTCTTGGGAGTTCAAGTCTAGAACTCAATGATATTACTTTCTACCAGGAAATTTGCGGGGAAAACAGTGATGCGTGATGTCGAACTTCGATGTTCAAGACTTTAACGTTCCAGGCTTGAGTCTTCACATACACGGAGTGTTTGTCTTGGTGAGATGACAGCTCTCTACTCTTGCTTTTGGACATGTCCGGCCAGGCAACAGTATTAACCTTCGTTCGGATTCTTGTTTAGACTGCATCAGAATGTCAACAAGAAACTAAGGTAATTGATTGAAGAGATTGTGTGTGGTGCTCAAGCAGCAACTCAAGCTAATGGCCAGGATTTGAGGGATAGTCTCCCGTACCTGCTGAGGCTATGTACTTGGTCTTGAGTGTGTTTTCCACAGTACGTAGTGGGATTATTCAAATGACATCTTGGTCGTTCATCCGCCATTGTCATCAGTACTGTTGCTTTTACGTTCACGACCAGGGATATCAACGTTGATAAAAGGGTCTAAACGGTAGGCTCCTCGGCGACCCGAATTGAAAAGATTGATTGCTTCAACTCACTCGCTTTTGTCTTGTTCAAACAACAGGAAACCAATGATTGAGTCGAACAATCAGATATTTGAAGGCTCTCATCGTGCTTGGCAGACTCAAATCTATAATCACTTACCGATCCACAGGACACAGATGCGGGCGCGGTTATTTGGAATCGACTTGCGATTCCTCAGATCTGAGATTAGAAGGATCTAGCTTCATTTCTTCGGCCATCACGCAAGTCAGCCCACATATAATACAGGGGTCACTTAAGGCCAACTGCTGGGTTGACCAGGACATATTGGTATTTTCAAATACCATACGTAGTTCGTAGTAGAGCTCGAGGACAAATATATCTCAAGACAGAAAACTCAACAGTGCTTTAAAGTATGTTATTAGTGTTGAAAACACATGAATACTCCGTGTCCGGGATAAACACCAGTTGAGACGCGTCGCGAAGAAAGACCCGGCTTACCATCGTCTTAACACTCAAGATATTTTGTGCTAAGCGGTTGCATATATATATATATATATATGTGTATATATTTATATAAGCAAGCGGTGCAGTAGTCAGTCAAGCTTCAAATGTTTCAAGTCACAAAAGACGCAAAAGCATATGATTTTTTCATCCTTTATCGTTTGAAACTTTTCGTTGAGAAGCATACTGGATATCAAGCAAAGGAGTCAACGGTTAGGCATTTTCGTATCTTCGTACCAGACAGCCCGTTGTATTCTAGCCTACCACCTGTACTGGAGTATTCCCGTTGTAATAAACTTAAGAAAACAGGAAGTAGGGTAGTCTAGTGACAAAATAATCAAGAAGATGATCATCGATGAGTTGGGAAAGCCATATCTTACGACTTCTCCCCGCCATAATCGCTTCGCGACATGCATGTCTCTTGGATCTGCAAGAAAGCAGAATGCGGTCGGTGGTGGATTTGATTTCTTGCGGCCATTATGGCGATATTTATACTGGTAGGGTTGGCATTCCTAGCTTCGATACCTCAGCTTGAGGATCAAATACAGGCGTACACTTTTCAACCGAGTGCAAGATGTAACGTGAGTAGCTCCCTTCTGAATTGGACGAGACAGCAGAGTGCTATTCATTACTCTGCACTTCCTGACCAGCTGTGCTTCAAGAAGAAGAGCCATGTCCTCCTCTGTGCGCGGCACTGGCGGATATAATCGAGAGGAAGGGATCAGGAGGATGTACACGACATGCCGTTCAAGACGTGGCTTCCACAAAGCGCTTTCACTTCATTCTGCGAATACTCTTATGCTATCGAGACGGTCTTCGGGCCGCAGCAGTTAGACTCGTCGATTTACCGGCACACTTTGGCGGCAGGATAACCAAGGAACTCCAAGTTGACGTGTCGAAGACTCTAGAGTAACAATGTTTACATGGGCACGCTCACAAACCACGAGCTGAGGGCATCATCATAAGTATAAGGGGAGCTATTGAGAAGAACTCGTTCCATTCTGACTCGCAAGTCTGAGTAAATTCGTATACAACTACGGGCTTGTAAACATGCTGGCTACACCATCACGATCATGAGGCGAGGCCCGTTCATACGAGCATCTTTCTGAGTCTCATCGTCGGCAACTGGCTCCTTCTACCTCGGTGCCTTATTTTCGTTATCTGGCAGCACTTATAAAAAGGCCATTCATAGAGGAACTTTTACTCCTTACTCCCACAGGCCATTGGGCTGATTGTTGGAAGAGGCACCATACGAGGGTGAACATTCTATCCATACTTCCTTAAGTTTAGCGGTAGACAGCATTAGATGCATCTCGTACTTACACATTTACCTCAGATTACCTCTCTCCAACTCGGCCCTCCCTTACTAAGTATTCCAGTCTGAACACTATCAACGAGCGGAGTTAGGTGGAAGGATGAGAGTCTAATGTAGGTAGGTGGGAAATGCCGAGATATCGGAGTAGACCTGTTCCCTTGGCGGAAACCCCGTTAAACAGACATTTCATCTTGCTTCAAAACAGGGACAACTATGCGCACTGGAATGTGCACAATATGGCACTGGCTTGCCTCCCTTTACTAGGAGAGCAGTCAACAGCGGCCTCTTATAGGGAAATGCCTAGACAGTACAATTCCACCACTCAGTACCGGTGTAGACAGCAGCCCGTTTGCCAAATAGTACGCTTGAACAAGAATGAACCTGGCGATTGCCAAGGAACACCGAGCACACATCGTTGAGAGACTAATATCTTGACTACAGCACTGCATACGAGATCATGCGATGACCGAGACATGCTTCAACCTTTATATATTCCTCTACAGAGACATCGTTTCTCCATAACACCCCTTCCTACGTAGAGCTCTCCCCGTTTTCCCACACCAAAAAGAACTCCTCGCCAGCCCAACCAGAAAACACTCTTTGTCTTCGGTGTGTGTGTGTACAAATCTAAAACCATCTCTCATCCTTCACCACAGGTAGCCCACATCACTCTCAATCATCCTCAATATCGTCATCACTAATGACCAAATTCTGCACCGACAATCCAGCAACCGACCCATCGCCCTTAGGCCGGAACGCAGACCCCTTTTTCCGCGGTGAAGCCTCCTCTGACGGCTTATCGGTAGCCCATGCATCACCCGTCATGACACCGTCATTCTCCTGCGCGTCTTCGGCCTCAGCCTCATCGTCGTCACCCGTCTGCGGACCGATACCCTGAAACGAAACAACCTTTTCAAGGTCCTTAAGCTTGAATGAGTGCAGCGTCGACTTGCGTCCGCGGACGATGGAAGCCATGTACGGCAGGCGCTCGAGGAGCATTTCCCGGCGAGCCGAGCTGCCGAGGGAGAGCAACGGCGCTGATGCCGCACTCGCGTCCGTCTTTGACGAAGTTTCCCGGACCGACTTGGGCTTCGACTGGTGATTAGCCATCCAGTTACCCATATCCGCCTGCTTGGGTCTTCGAAACGCGCTGGCGCTCTCCGTGAGACTCTTCCGCGGCGCACTTTCTTCACCCTTCATAAGCTTCGTCGACCAGACGTCAACAAGGCCCTCGAACTCCTCCTTTGTCCGCCACAGCTTGAGACTCGTCGGATAAAACATCTTGAAGGCGTCCGCGCCCTTTGCGCCGGTCGAGGCCTTGCGCTTGACGGGCGAGGGTAATGAGAAGAGCATGCCACGAACGGCGACGTGGAAGGCAATCTCATCTTGCCGGAGGACATGGCTTCCCGAGTCCTTGCCAAAGTTGGAAGTGCCCCTGCCGCCGAAGAAGGAATCCCACGACGGGAGGAGCAGGTCGCTCTCAGATAGGTATTCAATACATCCGTTGACGTAATCCAGGGGTGTCGAGGCGTCGAAGGGGGGTACATTCTCGCAGGAGAACATGTAGTTCTCGTGAAGAGCCGAGATGAAGGTCTGTGTATCTGTGCCGGTTTCATCCACCAACGTATCGACCGATACCTCTGACGGCTTCGGGCGGGAGTGATGCGCGAGATAGCTCGGCAAGCGTTCAGCTGGGTTCGTTGTTGAGGGCGCTTCCTCCCTCTTGTTGTATACCACTTTCCCAACCGCGTGAAAGATACCAAGACTCGCCTCGCGCTGAGAAATGAGCTCCAAGGTATCTTCTTCTCCTTTTGTGAGAGAGATGCCCGCCTTGGCACCCTTGGACTGCTTGCTCAAGGCAATCTTGGCTCCCCAATCCGCGTCTTGGTCGCCCTTCAAACACATGAATTCCAGAGAAGAGATTGCACTGCGGATATCCCCTATCTCGCCCAGGCGTTTCAGCACTTGAGGTCCTGGCGTGCGCTTCCTCCCGGATTTGCGTGCTTCTTTCATCACGGTCAACTCCAGCGCTTTCGCGAGCAGGGTAGGCGCAACGGCATTGAACTCGATGACACGTGTCCCAGGGTGCCGCAAGATCTCGGGGCCAAGCAGTCGGTGAGCAGTGAAGCTATCTGCCGAGGCTGATGTTGTGGTCAGTAGTGTCTCTGAGATGACCAAGACGACAGGCGTGATGGGCTCATTGGCAGGCCGCCGCCCGTAATTTGAGAGTGAGGGCAGGTTCGACGCCAAGTACTCCAAGAGGGTGTTCCGAAAGGACGTCAAGGCCGTCGAAGACCTTGAAAAGGTGTTGGGGAACTCTTCCACGAGGATGATCTTCCCCGATAAGTCGGATTTTGTGCTGGCAGGACGCGGTGCCTCGACCATCAAATCGGTATCCAGCTGGCCAAACTTCCCGCCCCTGCCTAGGAATTCCTGGAACTGGGCGGAAGCTGACGTGTACCCAAGATGTGCGCCAAGAGCACCGGTGGGATTCCTCCACTCCAGGAGCTCGTAACCCATGTCCCTAGCTAGTAGTCGCATGGTGGTAGTCTTTCCCGAGCCCGCAGCACCCTTGAGAATCAGAAGCCGCTGGCGCATCCGTCCGGCAAGAACATCTTCTAACCATTTTCTCACGTCCGAGACCTTCCTCTTGTGGACCGCCAGCTCGTCCAAGTTTATGGGCCCAAAGCGTTCCGACCAAGGTCGCAAATCGTCGTCGAGAGCAGCTGGTTTATTCGGGCGCGGTGGCTTGAGGAACCTCTGGCTCGATGCCAGGCCCGTTGACGACGAGACGGGGGTATTATCTCGAAACCGTTTTCGTGCATTCTGCCCAACAATGCTCGAAGTGCTAGCTTTCTGCTCTGTAACATCGTCGTCCTCGGATATCGGGTCACTTATTATGTCGTCGAGAGGTACTGTCCTCGAGGAAGCAGCTGGCTTTGCGCTGGACTTTGATGCTTGTTTCGAGAACAGTGTCATGAGATTTCCATTGCGGCCCTTCTCTTCCACTTTGACGCGCTTAGTCGGTTTGCCCTTGGCCTTTTCGGGGCTGGTACTCGGGCTCTTTGTGTTCTTGTTCGCTGGACCATTGCGTGATTGCAGTATAGCTGGCGCCGCGGTGGTTCGACGCTTATCAGGTATACGGCTTTGTGATTTCGTTGGACTGGGAGATGCAGTCGTGCCTCGCGTATCTGATTTGGAGGGTGATGACAGGAGGAAATTCGTGAGTGTGTTCGTCTTGGGCAGGTCTTCCTCATCGTCCGACTCGAAGACATTGCGCCTTCTTCGTTTGGCTGGCGGAGCCATTGGGCAGGATAGTGGTAAAGAAGCTCAACATGAGCGCATGTTCTCTGCAGGTTCGCAGGCCGACCGACGCGTCTGACTTTTCTTCCTGGCAATTCGGGGATGCTGAAGGCGCGGGCAGGCTGTGAATAATTTGCAAGAAAGAATGACCAAGTATGCACCTACCTACCTCTCTGCCTACCTTTTGGCGGGCGGCTAAAGTACAGCTGCATCCTCGTCATTTCGGAGCCTCGCCAATCTGGATCTGGCCCCCACTTTGACGCACTTTACAGCGGGTGGACACTAACTTGTCGCTAAATTACCTGGTCTTGTCGGTACCTACCTGGCGGGAGCCCTCCACGCCCATTTTAGTGACAGGCTTCTACCTCAAAGCTCACATCCCATATTCTCACCTGGGCTTATGATACCCAAAAAAGCAAAAGGCAGACACATTTCGGCGAATTTAGTATGGCTAGAATGAGGATTATACAACACTCAAGCTTCCTGGCCATCATACTACAACCGAAGATAGAGCTGGCTAATCTTGAAAATATAATCCAAGTGAGTAAGGAAGGCCTCAAGACCTAAGACTAGATGTCTCACTGATTGGAGCGAGACCCTCGCCCACTAACAATGATGCTCCCACACGACGGCATCAATCGACTAGGCAAAGTAGATAAGACACACAACAAGTCTGAGTTGAAAGTTTGACAGATTGACATTTTCATTACACATTCAAAGTCATTCCCATGCTATGTACCCAGATGTTGTACAGTAAGGATAAATTAAAGACAGTCCAAGCTAAGTGAATCCAGCTTGTTCCCCGTTATGCGCCACGCATCAGGACAAATTCGTTCCCAAGAGCATGTTTGCTTCAATAGTTACCCCCAGACTTCAAGTCAGCAGCTCCAAAAGTCCACCCACGGAAGTTGTCGACAAACGTCAGAGCAGACGCCAGGTACCGCTCATGTACGTCACCCCAGGTCCTAGAAGCCTCTTTCATGGCGCGAATCGCTGAGATGTTTGTCAGTTCCTGCATGCCAAAGCGTGAACGTGTGTACGGACCTTTGACATAGTGGGCGTCGGTGGCCCATTGAGAGTTCAGAGCCTCGTGCTCAACATGTCTCCAGTGACGTTGCTTCAAATCCGTATCTACATTATCGGGGTCGATATTTGGCCGCAATAGGGAGATATAGACACCGAGTACGAGCAACCACCACTCCCTTACTAAGCTTATGTGAAACTTGGCCGGAATCACCGGGAGAAGAATTCGGACGGCGTGGCTCGTGGTGAGGAGATGCACCGTGAAGAAGTTATATCCGTGGGTGCCGCGGGGTATGGTTGCGACGAGGAGCGCAACCGCAAGCTCCTGTGACTCTTCGAACTGCTTCACCGGGTCTGTGATGGTCCAGGCATTCCAGTATTCCATGACAATGTCTTCGTGCTTTGCAAACAAGACGTCGAGGTTGCCCAAGGACGGTTCCTTGAACAATCCATCGAGTCGCTTGTCATCTGCGATCTTGTGAATCAGCTCGAACGTCGACTTTGAGCTAAACGGTGACGGTTTCGTGTATTTCTTGTCGTCGAGGTATCGGTGGAAAAAGTTGTATTGCGTGGCAGCCAATGCTAGTGCCTCGATCGCGATCTCCTTGGAATTCATCTCGTAAGCGTATCCGAGGTGGATGAGGGGGTGGCCAACTACATGAGGGGTCAGCAAATGTACTTCGTCATTCCTCTAGGCAATACGCACGACCACCAATAAGCCCATGGACCAGAGGCTCGTCGCCAGTGAACATGAACTCATCGACAACCTTCTTCCACTCGTAGGAGTTATTTGCCAAAGAGTCCTCGAAGAAGTCGACGTAGGCCCTCTGGTATGTCTTGTCGCCGAGGAGGTCTCTCCAGTCATCATCAGTGACCTCGGCGGGAGACTCCTTCCATGGCTCCAGCTCCTTCGCTTCGGCTTCGTAGATATTCTGGAGCTGGCGGTCGTTCGCACCTAGCAGATACGCAGACGAAAGAACGTGTGCCGTGTGGTTGTCGAATTGGAGGTTGTGGTAGATTATGGAGTGGTTGACGTGGTTGGCTCTCAGCAGGTGCTTGAGGCATCTCGCTCGCCGGTCGTGGTCGGTCTCGACATCGTGAACTTCGACAGGGGGAATGTTGATGATTTGCGCCTTTTCGCCGTCTGAGACGAAGAGGTTGACGATTGGGACGTAAGAGAGAAGACTGGGCGCCATTTTTGCAAGTGAAACCCTCAAGAAGTTCTCATTGTTGGAGGAGGGGAAAGTATTGCGACCGAGCTGCAGATGCAAATTGCCGTTAAAGACATGGCGCGACCCTCCGAGAAGCGTTGGGAAAGTGACGTTTGATGGGTTTGACTGAGTGGGGTCATTGTATGCAGGGAACTGTGGGCACGTCTTCTTTTGCAGGGACCGTCCCACCTCGGCGCACTTTAAACTGCCCAGGTCGCTGGACGCTGGCACCTTCAAGTTCTCAACCCCACCATTCCCGGCCCGGCTGCCCCACTGTCGGTCGTCCGGGGGCGGAACGCCAGCAAGATATTTCTTCCGAGGGCCCTCTTCGGCTCTGTTTTATCTTGCCCGCGCCCGGCTTGGTTAGTAATGTAGCAAGGAGATGGTGGAATTTTGCGCACTCAAGCCATTTAGTACACTGCCGACCCAGTACTACTGGGATATTCGAGTCCGAGAGCCTGGATTCCCAACAAACACCAGTTCCGATTACACTTGTCCTTGCCAGGCAGTCGACTGACGGGAACGCCATTAGTCGATTCTGGAAGTGATGACACTCAAGCCAACCTGGCATATTTGGCTTACCAGAGAGCAATTTTCTGACCCTTGCCTCATAATCGCGATTGCGCACTCGGGTAAGGCGACCGTCCGAGATTACAGAAGGTGACACGAACGATCGTACCTTGCTCCTTGATGCACAAGGAAAACATCACAGACATTACAAAGATTCTGCCACGGCATATATAAGTTATGAGTGGCCCCGGTGGAATGTTTACAGTTTCTTTAGCTTCTTCCAAAAACAAACTGCGGTTCACGACATCTTCTCGGCACCCCCTGCTTTCATGGCAAGGAACCTGGAAGTGCGCGTCTTTGCATGCGCTCCTACATGTGACTCTCTACCGTCACATAGCCAACCTGCATACGCGCAAATCAGAGCACATGGAGATGATCCTCAGCTGTGCTTATGTAACTAAGTATGAGGGCCATCGGCCATCGGCCTGTCCAGACAAGAACTCGATGCATTTTTCGGTGTAGCAAGGGACTCTGATTGGCACAATTGAGTTCGGATTATGGGGTCATAAGCTATCCATTGACCAATAATGTACCCTGGTCTCACCGAGAAACGATCGTGTAAGTCGTGATGCCGTAGCATGTCGAAGAGCCTCAGCATATGACCATTATAACTTGGTGTGAATGAGCAAATTCAGGACCGTCTCCAATTTCGACCCTACAAACCCAACTTATCTGTCACATAGCAAGCGCGAATTACTTGCATCTGTTGACAAACATTGAAAATAAACACGTTTTGCCCCTTGTTCTCCACCCTTGCCTTCTAATGGCGACTTACATGAACGAGATGGAGCTCGCAAAGGATATTTACAACCTTTTGGACCACGTTGAAAATGCAAAGGTGCCAGGCCGCAGCCCAATCCACAGTAGCGGTGAAAGAAACCACTTAAGTGAGGATGATGAGCTTTTCGACTTTTGCTTCGACTATCCCCTCTACCAAACATCCTCGACAAAGGATTCTCCCGCCGTACGGAGTCTAGCACCACGCATCATGGCCGGCACGACCGCACTATCCGATAACGAGACAGGGAGTACGACGGAGACATCTTCTATCCTTACCCCCGAACCTGATGTCTCCACCCCCGGGTCTGCCTTTACGGAGCTTGTCTCATCTGTCGAGGGCTATGACACCCCCTCAAATGTTCTCCAAGGCCTTCCCAATGACCCGTACCTCTTCCCCCGTCTCGATAAGGAGCACGAACTTCCCCGGTTCCCTCGTCTTCTCGTCCCAGGTTCCAAGAAGAGGACCAGGTCCAACAGTCCCAGTGTTCAGAAGCGTGTGGTCAAGGACATTGGCAAGACCAACCAGGTACGATCCGCCGGGGCATGTATGCGATGCCGGATCCAAAAGGTCCCGTGTAGTGCGACTGGTGTCTGCGAGAAATGTATCAAGGCACATCCCAAGGAACCCCAAAGCTCTTGCTTTAGGGAAGACTTGGTCGCAATCGTGAACAACTCAACTCACCAGCGATGTAAGTCCTCTCTCATCACAGTTACGCACCGCCACGGTGAGGTGCAAGTTGATCCTAAGCTAATGATTCCCAGTCACTGAGCTCAACAGGATTGATGAGATCGAGGTCAGAGAGTTACTCAGAACCTCCCGGCCACAATACCTAGAACCCATCTATAAGGGATCTGTGGTATTTGCTCGTGGTCTGCCTCAGGTCATGCTTCCAACTACACTACGCAACTACCGCTGTATGATAGATGGCATGTCTCAGAGGCCCCACCAAGGTTGTGTTCTCTCCAGGGAGCATGGCGGTGTTCCGTCGTACCAGGACCTCGTAAAATGGGCAGAACAGATGGTTATACCCGAGGATTATAATACTTTCGAAGGGAGCATCGAAGTGTTCATCAAGATGTATTCCGCACCTCAACGGTTGCGTCAATATCCCAGACGGCCACAGGTATGACACAATGTCAGCCAAGATCCCATGACCCCTTGGTACTAACGGTGTCGCAGATGGATCTTCTCGACAAGGTTCACACGATGAAATGCATGTACAAGATCTGTTGTCAAGACGACTTCATTTTCATTCGCGAAGATACTGGAGCGGTGAAACGCCTCCCCTTGCCTGCCAAGGCAGAATTGAGAGGCATCGCCCGCATGGCTCTCGAGACAGCCGAGAGAGATATCCTCATGGTACTCGACAAGCTCAAAGCCGCTTCGGCAAAAGTTCCCGAACAAGACTTGCCTGCTCTCTGGGCCACTTTGTGGCAGCTGATGTTCATCTACCGAGATCTCCTCAGGAACAGGACACCGCGGGACAACGACGCAGGAGCTCTCCTCAACGCGGTGGCCGTCTTTTACGCAGCCCACTTTAGGACGTCGGCCTCTCTTGGCAAGTTGTCCTTGGACAGTCTGCAACGTCATTGGGGACCTGGCGAGACTCAGCAGGCGCAGCTGTCTGGTGCGTTTGATCATGCTCTGAGTCTTCGCGATACTCTCCGTAGGTCTATTACCCACGCTCTTGAGTCAATGTAATGTCACTAATAAAATGGCGGCAGACCGAACAATCGCAGCAGGAATTGACGAGATTGATCATCGCCTCAAGGCCTTGGTTGTCGATCCCGAGATGAAAGTGCTGGGACGACGTACGAATAAGAAAACGAGCGGCGGCAAGTGACTTTCTGCAATCGCCTCATGTGAAGTGAGAACGTGAGACAGAGGGGCTCCAGGGGGGGGGGGTTGTTTTCTAATGACGCTATGAACACCTACGAAGATTACGATGTATGACACGAATGATTGACTCTCCTCTGTTCCTCTCGATTATAGCGCGCCTTTAATGTTGGCTCTTTTCTTTAGTATGCAGCATTAGCTGGTGTTTTGGTTTATGGGAGTTCTCTGTTTATCCGATACCAGAGACCTGGTCTCTGAAGTGCGATGGTGTTGAGCTAGTCGTTTGAATCTGACGTTGGAATCCCTCCTCTTCTCATGCCTTGCTCGGAAACAAGCCAAATCTCAATCCATTTACCTGAAAATCGAGAATCAGAGACTTCTTTCGTTCCACTTTGGCATGTGACGCTACTCTCTCATAGTCTAGGTCGCAAGTGACGTCGGCTCACGATCATTCGTCGCCCCGGGATCTTGGAGCTCAGAAGTCAGCTTCATTGGCATCAGCCAGTTGCATTCCCAAGATAAGCCCATCTTAGCTCTTATCTAGGTCCAAACCAGCGGGGTCAAGGAACACCCTGGATCTTATTACCCGAACACTCAAACATGACTCCCCGCGATGTGTGGCGGCCAAATCAAACGTCGGGGTCATATCTATGGGTCCCTTCTTTTTGCGCGGGAAACCCGCACTATTGGTCCCTGGCAACAGTTGACCGAGGGAACGTAGACACTCAGACTAAACGGGAGCAAAGAGCAGTTTGACGGACTCCGCGCATAACTTGTTTCTTACCTATCGAATACTTTTACCAGATCGATCGCGTGTTAGGTCGGCAACAATATTCAAGTGAACGAGCCTGGCACTCACGCAATGGCATTATCAGACCATCCCTATCAGAAGCTCGACATTGACGAGCGAGTGAAGCGGGTTCTGCTTAGGACGCCGCTCATCGACGGCCACAATGACCTACCTCAGCAACCGCGGGCATGCTTTCACGGCAAGATTCACAACAACCCGAAATTCGACTTCGCAAATGGATTCGAAAGGGGAATGACGGATATCCCTCGATTGAGGGAGGGTGAGCTGCACCACACCCTGCTCTACACAGTTGACTAAATTAACTTACACGAAATAAAGGTGCTGTTGGAGGCCAGTTCTGGTCCATCTGCGTCCCCTGTCTCAGGTCCGCGGAGAACTTTTCAACAGCAGAGTACTCGGACATGGCGCGCGACGCCATTGAACAGATTGATATGACGCTCCGGCTTGTTGAGTCGTACCCTGAGACGTTTGAGTTGGTGAATGGGCCAAATGACGTGAAGAAGATTTACGAGTCGGGGAGGATAGCTTGCTCTATCGGTATTGAAGGGTATGTGCTCATTCTGAGGTGTTGAGAGGCTCATGAATGACTGACAAGCTTGGCAGATTGCACATGGCTGGCAACAGTATCGGGATCATTAGAGCATTCTACCGCCTAGGCGTCAGATACGTAAGTTGAACAGACTTACAGATGCCATGAGGTCTTGTACTGACTCTGCCAGTGCACTCTCACTCACGTTTGCAACAATGCCTTCGCCGATAGCTCGACATCCAAAGTCGGCGCTGTCCACGGTGGACTGTCTAAGCTGGGTCGTGCGGCATTGGTTGAGATGAACAGATTAGGTAAATCTATCGCCTTCTCGCAGCACTCAAGTCAACTAACCAATCATCCGCAGGAATGATCGTAGACATATCGCACGTCTCAGAAGACTGCGCCAAGCAAGTCCTCGAGCAGACCCGCGCGCCAATCATGTTCTCCCACTCCAACGTCAAGGGCGTGTTCGACTGTCCCCGCAACGTCCCGGACCACATCCTAGACATGGTCCCAGCCAATGGTGGCATCATGATGGTAACTTTTGTCCCGGAGCACGTCACCACGCGAAGAAGAGACGCCAAGATGGATATGGTCCTCGATCACTTATTTTACGTTGCCGAGCGCATCGGCTGGGACCACGTCGGTCTCGGTTCCGATTTTGACGGTATCGCGTCGGTTATCCCTGGTTTGGAAGACGTCAAGTGCTACCCGAGACTTCTCAAGGCTATTCTCGATAGGGGTGCCACCGAGGAGCAACTTGCCAAGGTGGCTGGTGAGAATATCTTGAGAGTGTGGCGTGGTGTTGAGAAGATTAGGGATGAGATGAAGACTGAAGGAGTCCTGCCGGTTGAGGATGTGTGGGAAGATCGGACTTGGTGGAGGTATGATGGGTATTACCAGATGCCGGATCCTGATCCTGAGGATAAGTTAGGCTTGGACTGGTATGGTGTTCCGCCTCCAGATGAGGGCTTGTATCTGGACGACAAATAGGGGGCAGAGTTGTTATGTCACTACGGATATGTGTAGGAGAATTGTCTGAAGCCGAGAAATTTCATGTTTTAGTTACTTCATAAGGATGTTGAATGAATGACGTGTGGATAACTGATATAAGTTCCACTGTCCACCATGTTGCCCCAAACTCAAGTGTGTCAGTATGAGTCCCACTGAAGCCGATGATCGATGAGTCTATGTTGATCTCTAACTTCTTGTTAGGGGCATTTAGGCAACGGTCTACAAAAATCGCAAATTGCCCATTCTCGGAAGCAAGGCTTGTCATTGCAACGTTATGCGCGGGGTAACGTCTGCGCAAGTCATGGCCGCGGATGACTTCAACCGTGATAAGACTTTTCCGCGGGAAGCACTAACACCCCTAGTCGTGCCACCGGCTCTTATCTGTTGCTTTTCGGAGGCATACCGAATCGTTACCAACATGTCTGTAGATCCGGCACTCATGTCGCCGATGATCCTATATAGCTAGATGTTCCTTAGATGTAGATGCAGTCGGGCGACCTGCATCGCAGCGGCCGAAACACCCTCTCTTCTCGCTCCCAAGATCAGACTCAACGAATCATGAAGACGGAAATGACCCCCAAAGAGGAGCTCATGGCCTTCGAGCCAACAAAGGCGCTCGACCTCCTCGACGCAGCCGAAGGCGAAGTAATCGACCCGGAAGAGAGCTCCGCGCTCCTACGACGCCTCGACTTTCGCCTCATGCCGCTCCTCTGCATCACCTACGCCCTGCAGTCCATCGACCGCACAACGCTAAGCTACGCTGCCGTCTTTGGCATCCGCGAGGATATCGGCCTCACGGGCCCCGAGTTCTCCTGGGCCGGCGCGCTGCTGTACCTGGGCTACCTCTTCTGGGAGTTCCCGACAAACGTGCTGCTTCAGAAGTTGCCCATTAACACCTTCATGTCGGCCACGGTGGTATTGTGGGGCGCCGTGCTCATGTGCCATGCCGCGTCGCATAATTTTGCTGGGCTTGCGGCGACGAGGACGTTTTTGGGTGCTTTTGAGGCCTCAATCAACCCGGGTACGATGTTGCTCTTCTCGATGTACTACTCGAGAAAGGAGCAACCTGTTCGTATGGGTATCTGGATTGGGTCTGCGGGTCTGGGGTACATTACGGCTGGTATCGTGACGTTTGGGATCGGACATGTGCAAGGGTCCATCGCGAGCTGGCGGATTCTGTTCCTGTTCTGGGGCGCCATCACAGTGGCTTGGGGGATTCTCATGCTCATCTTTCTTCCGGGCTCACCGTTAACGACCAAGTTTCTGTCAGAGAAGGAGAAGGCAATGGTTGTTAGCCGCGTCAAGGCTAACGGCACGGGGGTTGAGAACAAGAAGTTCAAATGGCCTCAGTTCAGGGAGGCCATGATGGACCTGAAGACTTGGCTTCTGTTCTTGTTTGCTGTGGCTAGTAACACTCCCAATGGCGGATTGACGACAGTGAGTTGATCAGATATTATCTTGAATACTGTAAGCTGACACAAGGATAGTTCCAAGGCCTCGTCATCAGGGGTATGGGCTTCTCGACGCTTCAAACCACTCTCATTCAGATGCCATCAGGAGCAGTACAGCTAATCCTATGCCCCTTGGCATGGTAAGCGAGAATTATGTGCTCAGGTTCCTCAACTTCAACTGACATAACGTAGCTTTTTCGCTTCCTACTACCCAAACGCTCGCATAGCCATCATGCTAACCTGTCTCGCCCCTTTCCTCGCCGGTATTCTCGGCCTCTGGCTCATTGACCAATCCAACCCCTATGGACGCCTTGCCTGCCTCTGGATCTCATTCGCCTACACAGCGACCTGGACGCTCTCCATGTCCGTCGCCACGGCCAACACCGCGGGCCACACGAAGAAGATCACGACTAATGCGATGCTTCTGATCGGGTACTGTCTCGGGAACTTCGTCGGTCCCTTCTTCTTCAAGGCGGAACAGGCGCCGCGGTACCCCCTGGGCGTCGCGATGATGATCTTCTGCGTCGGCATGCAGATTGGGTGCCTGTGTGGCCTCTGGTGTCTGTTGTGGGTTCGAAATCGGTCTAGGAGGGCGGAACACGCGACGTCGGAGGAGAATGAGCAGCAGGCTTATGAGCGTGGGCTTCTGGACGAGACAGACTTGCAGAACAAGTACTTCAAGGTTCGTGGGCATCCCTTATTTGAACTTGAACCTCCGCTAAAGTTTTCCAGTACGTGTATTGATATATGTGGCACCTCGAGAAGCAAATCGGACCTTCAGGTCACGCTCGCCTTGTAGAGCAGAAGACTAGATTTGTCGAAAAAGAACTAAAAAAACGGCACCTCCCAAAACGTTACAAAACTAGCTTAGCACAAAGTGATAGTTCGCAAAACAGAATTTCCTGCGAGTGAGAGCTCGCCTTTCATTATCCCGGGCATATAGCAGTCACTCACTAGGTGGTGTCTATCATGCTTACCTGGTAAAACGAAGGTATCTGGACCGTTAACGTGGTCATTGTCATCCCTGATCGGTCGTAAAATGAGCGGCATGTGGCCTGAACAGAGTATCCAAATCTCGTCGCCCGGTTTCACGTCCCAAGTTCCGACGCCAAATCTACCTGCACTTATAAGAAAGATAGTCATGATCCTAGATAACAGCCAGGATCCCAGCTGTGATTTCTCTTTCATTTGCCAATCCTGTGACTCTGATTGTTCACGCAGGTCGAGCACGTCATCCAATATCGCGGAAAATTCTGTGACGACTTCATTTGTCACCAATGGCCCATCCAGATTTCTCAAAACACTGAAAGCATCTTCAGCTACGCTTTGTTTCCATACTTGTCTCAAGGCTATAACAGGTTGAATATAATTCAAGGGGCCATCAGGACCCGAGGAGACTTCAGTTGGTGGCATAATTTTGCCCACGAGCGTGTCAACGAAGTGTCCACGAAGTCTTAAATGCCGCCCGTCGCCCGAAACAAGGTTTTGAAAATCCAGCTGAGGAAGGCCATGTGAAGCATCGAAGTGGTAGGTTAATCTAAGAGCCATGGTGAAAGCACTTACCTCTCTATGTTGTTCCATCTCTTGCCGATGCCAGTCCAGAACCCAAGAAGGTTCTTCCAAGGACGTCTCGCTCTGCCGGCGTCCCATGAGTGGGAGTAACGATTGACAAGATCGGATGAGATCCACCGTGACGCGGCTGTATACCTCTACATAGTCGATGTCATAGTTGCTCGATTTCGACTTCACCAATGCTCCTGCAATGAAAGGTAGTAGAGCGAAGATCTTGTCGCGCGGATCCAAAGCTCGGCGGTCGCAGGCATTCCAAAGGAAGCTAATACTAGCTACACCATCCACCACTGCCTGCGGCCTTGGTTCGATTCGATTTCTCAACATCGAGAGAAGTTCTAGTAGCGATACTAGCGCTCCCGCTGCCTCGAAATAGTGCTTGTCCCACTTGTCACTTATCCACCTACGTTTTTCGAATGCCGCGCGCACACTGTTTTCGTAGAAGTGTATCAAAGGGAATCGACATATCATGAGAGGCCCCCAAAGGAAGATTGCCGTGTGAGGAGCGACGCATTTTTGAACTGTCCATATCCGCCGCCACCACTGACATTTGACCAAGCTTCGAAAGGTGAGACAAATCTTTATCAACCCTTCAGCCGTCGAAAAGCCGTTGTCTTTCTCTTTCCAAGTCTGCATCGTCGCAGAATTCGATGAAGTCTAAACCGTAGCGAGCAATGTCCAAGCTCAGTTCCCCATCGAGGAGGTCAACCTCACCCAACCAGAGAAAGCAGTTGCTGCATTTGCTGTAGATGTCAAACATCATGTCGACCTGTACCCGCTTCTCCTCGTGGTCATCCTGATTGATGCATAACGCGTCGGCCCACACAGTGAGGTATTCTTGCTCAGATCTGATGCGCCGTAGGACCGAGAATAGAGATGTCGTGATCTTGAACTCTTTCCCGTCCACTGTGATGTCCTTTGTATCCGAGGCATCGCCCCAAACGTATGATATACACTGGTAGTGAGGCCCGTCGTCGAGGGTAGCCACACTGAACACCCCTCGGATCGTACTCTCATGTGTCCCTGGCCAGAGGGTGAACAATCGTATTTGTCTCGCTGGGTCCTGGAGGAGCGGGCGCGCACCCGGTTCGTTTTTGTCTATAGGTCAAGCACAAAGTTAGCTGATGTGCTATGTAGAGAAGGGTTTGATTTATGTTACCTAGGTGATGAATAGCATCCTGAACCTCGGATAGAGAGAGCTGGCCTGGATCCGCCATGTTGTCCAAATCATCTGCTTCTCGCAAGATGTGTGAAGACTGGAAATTTGGTTGCTCTACAAAATTGCGAGGGGAATGTCTAAGGTACGGTACCTACTAGGCAGCAGGTGTGATGGACTGGTACAGCCCAGTCATTTGCTTCAAATTAAATATCATTGCCATTGCTCATTGGTCCCCTTCGCGCCATGTCGTAACATGTATGAGTTGGGGGGCGCCTCGCCGTCAGTTGCATGGAATCGCAAGGCTGTGCCGAACCTCTGCATACGGCCGCGGAGCGGGTCTTGGTGGAAGTGGATACCCTGGCATCCCCATCTTGTCCGGCACCACCACAGCCGGCACCGGAACCACCACGGGCGGCAACGGCGCATGCCATCCGAAACCTCCGCATCCTCCCATTATAACATCGCCATCCATGTCAAACACCCAACTACTGCGCATTTCCACGTTCAAAATGTCTATCATGATCGCGTCCCCGTCTGCGTCAACCCACCACGGCGGCACAGGCTGCACTGCCGCCGCCCTCGGTCTCGGTTTCGGGTGGACTGGTCTACTCTGTACTACCGCCGTGGGCGGTGGAGGGCGAGGTTCGGGCAGTCTTTCGGTTGAAGCTTTGGGGTGAGGTTTGGTTTCGATTTGGTGGCGGAGCAGTTCCGTCCTGAGAGAAGGGTTGTGTACCATTGATTATGCCGCAGAAAGAAGAGAAATCTGTGCATCGTTGAGGAGTCTATGCGATAACTGGGAGTCCTGCTCTTAAGGGGCGGAGATCTCTTCTAGCGACTTTGGTGAATAGGCACAGATGCTCAACGTCAATACATGTTATCGGAACAATCCAGCCTTGACTTGAGTGAGAATACCAGAAGTTGGTATTTAAAAGGCAAAGTGAATCACGGGAAACAAAGAAATGCGTTCACGAACAGCTATCCACCGGTTCTTGTGACAGTACCAAAGGAAAAAAGAATTTTGCTCAGAAATACTATCTGTATGGGATTTTTCTTTATTGCTATAAGCGGATGTGTTTTCGTCTCCTCCTCCTACTGCGTCAACTTTCACCCAGATTCGAAGTCAACTGACGATCAACTCAATTTCTTCTCTATACCTAGAGGCAAAATCTTCATCGTTGCACGGACGTATGCTTCTTCACCTGGACTACGTCGCTCACAGGAAACCAACCGAGTCTGGCACCAGGGATGAAAGCGAGATCAGATATCAGGCGAGGTGTGGAACAGTCAACGGCCAAGTGGAGGGGGGTATCTTTCATAAGATTCATCGACTCGTCAAGAAAACAACCCAAAACAACAAACAGCACTATTAACCACTACTTCATTTCCACAATCTTGACCGAAACCTTCTTATCCGGCTTCGTCCCGTCCTTGCGCTTCTTGCCAACATTCGCCAACCTGCCCATCACGTCCGCGGGATCGATGCCCACAGCCGCGCCGGGGGCAACGTGGACGGTTAAGTCGATGCTCGCCCTCTTCTTCTCGGGGTTCGATGTCTGCGTAGCTTCGAATCTGTGTAACAGTGTCAGTGTTGTTTCCATGAGAATGAGTCCATAGCTTTCGACACGTCCCAGAGAGATTGAATCCCATACCTCAAAGTCGACTCAAGCTCTTCGACACTCGTAGGCCACGCCGGCACGAGATCAACCATGACAGCCGCCACAGCACCAAGATACTCTGCCCAAAACACGCTCTCCAGCTTCGCCTCCGCAACAAGACCCCTAAGGTTCCCGTACAGCTGCGCATCAATCGGGCCCAAGTTCGACCCCCACCGCGCGCACACAGTCAAGCCAAGCACCGCTCTCGCAAGGTGCGTCAATCCAGGTGCGCTAGGGTCCCGCGTAACAGCCTCATGCAACGCATACGACGCATTAGCATCGTCGTCCTCGCCCTGGTGAATCCAAACCTGCCTCGCAAAAAGCGGTCCCAGACCCAGCGAGAACACCGTCGGCGTCCGCGAGACGTCGACGTTCTTCGGCACGGCGCCGTACAACGTCCTCAGAATCGCCTGCGCAACAGCCAAGTCCCCGCCGCTTCCCGCCCCTCCGCTCTCCTCGTGGCCCTGAATCGGGAAACCGGCGAGCGCCTCGAGCGGGTTACTCTCCCGCACGCTCTTGGGCAACTTCATCAGCAGCGCGCCGTCGCGGTTCGAGCCGCCGCAGAATGTGACGGTGCGCAGGTGCGGCACCGTGCGGATAAAGGCCTCGACGACTTCGATGATGGCGGGGAACTGCTGCCGCCTGCGCTTCGACATGCCGTAGATTTTCCCCTCGTGCTCGCGGTTGACGCGCCGCATCTTGTCCGTTTGCTTGAAGAAGTCGCCCGTCACGGTATATGTGCCCACCGAGGGGATCGGGTACGGTTGAATCGGGTCGTTGTGCTGGAGCATGCAGCCGTAGCCGCGGAAGCCGCCGCCGCAGAGGTAGGCGTCGATGCCGCCGGGTACCACGCTGCTGCCGTTCGTGGTGGCGGTGGAGGAGGAGGAGGAGGAGGAGGAGTGGGCGGTCTCGTGATCCGCCTTTGCTTGCGCGAGCGCGGGGAACTTGTCACACAACTTTGCAAAGGCGCCCTGCATGCTGGCGTTGAGCTTCTGCTTCTCCTGGATGCGTACTTCCTCCGACTGTCCCTCGAGGATGCGAATCAGCCTCGCGGCGCCAAACGGCATGCTCTCGCCCGCCTTGGCGGCGGCGACCTCGTAGTCTGGCAGCCGCGTGTCGACCCAGGTCATCTGCACGGAGCCCCCGCCGAGGTCAAGGAAGAGCCCACCGCGGGCAACGTCGACGAACGCAGACCGCGATCCCATGACAGCGCCAAATAGGGTCTCGACCTCGGGGGCGAGAACGTGGACGCCAATGTCGGCGGCCTCGCGGATGGCGGTTAGCATATCGCGGGCGTTTGCGGCGCGGCGCATGGCCTCCGTGGCGAGGACGGAGAAGTGGGCGGGCGGGACGCCATAGGAGACGGCGATGCGGCGGAAGCGGGCAAGGGTCTTTGCGACTTGGGTGATTGTTTCCGGGGGGAAGGTGAGGGGCTCGGAGGCGGCAGTGGAGGCGGAGTTGAGGGCGTCAAAGAGGGAGATTCCGGCGCGTTCGCGGTAGATGGGCCGGAGGAGGCGGGTTTGGGGCGGGGTCAGATCCGAGATTGAGAAGCGGATGCCGTTGCTGTTTGGTGGGGCCGGTGGCTCGGGTCAGTATTTGAGACCGGTGTTTTGTTCTTGCCATGGTGCATTTATTTTTAGGAGAAGCGGGAACTAAAAACATGGTCCGGCTGATGTTGCCCGCCGTTATGGTGTCAAGGAGAAAGGGACATGTGCTCTTTCAGAATTGAGTCTCAAAAGCACAGGCGCAGACAGACAAGATAGGCTTTCCCCAGGTTTTGCCCATCGGCGAGGCAATCCTGGAGGGCGATCCGGCAGAAACAGAAGCAAAAAGAAATTCTCGACATATACGAATCTGTGCGGATAGTTGCACCGAAGAGGGAAACGAAAAGCTTAGGTACTGACCTGCCCATATCAACAATCGCATATAGGTGGTTGGAGCCTGCGGGGTCCCATCTTGGCAGCAGCTCCTCAAAGTTGTCAAGCGTGATGATGTCAGCGCTGGTAGCCATGGCCGGCAGCGGGAGGCGCGAAGCCGATAGTCTTTTGATCGGAGGGGAGGGGGAGGGGAGCTGGGGGCGGAAAAGGGTAGAGTGAGTGAGGTAAGGTAACGTAGAGTGAGAGAAAAGAGAGCGGATGGTTGGGTGGTATCTTTGCTCAAAGTAGGCGCTGTGCAGAGGGATTTCCGCGGATGTCGGCAACCAACATTTGCCTTCGTTGCTTTTTCTTCTCGGTACGAAAGGTGTGTGTACGGAGTATGTATCTTCTGAAAGGATTCGAGTGCTCTTTTTTCGGTTCTTGTCTGTGGGGGGAAGAGAGGAGTGCCGGGCCGGGGCGAGAAGGATTATATAATGTAGCAGGTAGGTAAGTTTGCAAAAGTACCAAAAGATGCGAACGGCTGGCTAGTGACGGAAGGCGAGACACGGCGAGACAGAGAGCTGAGAGTGGTTCAGTGTGTCCGTACGGTAGTCAGTCTGCTGGAATTCGGGGAGGGTGAGCTGAGGGTGAGTGAGTAATAAGAGTGAAGGTGAGAGTGAGTGAGTGAGAGAAAGGACTGGAAGAAGAGAGAGGCGCATGTGAGGGGGGAGAACAACGGGGAAGGCAGCGATGTGTACTTTACGAAAACGGAGCGTGTTGCGCGTGTGGATTTATTGCCATGGGCAGCGGCACATTTCTCTCACTTCCCGTCTCTCTCATTCAGTGAGGTGAGTGAGTGAGTGGCATGCGTTTTGGAATTGGAGCCCCGGAAACCTGGAAAACCTCAGCTGCGAGTCTGACCAAAAGACGCAGCCCGTGTCTCTAGACTAACCTACTGTGTAGTAATGTGTAATATTCATACCTAGTCCGTATCATGCAGCTCACGACAGCTACTTACAGTGCTACATTAGTCTGAGGCGGCCACGTGAAGATGAGCAACGCAAGGGGACGATCCAGAAAGCAACTTCACTCACTCACTGCCTTCACAGAAGCAAGCAGCAAAAAAAAGCCCGCAAGGATCCATGGGATCTCCATGAGATGGATACCAAGCTCTGGGTCTACACGGAGCCAGCAACGCTGAGCCTGCATCCGCGAGAAGTGCCCCCTGGGCAACTAATACACACACAGTAGTAGAAACCATTTTCGTCCCATTTTCACTTCACCCCTCATCTTTCTCCCCCCTCCCCCACCTGCCTCATCCATCTCACGACATATCCTCAACCAGGTTTACATAGAATACGAACCAACAACCAACGTAACTCAAACCAGGTCATATTTTACTTCACTAATGGCCCAACTCGTGCTCCTTCATCATGATACTTCAGACATCTAGAACGGTCCTGGCCCCAGAGCCGAGAAGCGTGAGGCGGGTCACGTAGTCGCGTGACGGCGGGGTTTACCACCGACTCAACTGACATGACAGGGCC